GCATGCAGGAATACAAGGCCCATCTCCTCGACGTCATTCCGAGCAATGGCGTCGCGAATTCTCGCAACGGAAACCACGTGACAAGCAATCGAAGTGTGAGGGGTCGCGACCGTACATGGGACTAACACTCCGTTCCGATCACGGGTGTGAACGGTTCGGTCATGGAAGTTCACCGGATGATCGGTGCTACGCAACCAAGACATGCCGAGAATCATGTCGAACTTGGTGTCGAGGATGTCAAAAGACACCGGCTCGCACGCAAGTGGCGCAAAGTAGACCGGAACGCCGTCAACGCATCGGTCRATTGACTTTTGCGTGCGGCCGTCCGCGAGTGTAACTTGCGTAGGTTGCGTTTTCCTTCGAACGCGCGGGCCAAGACCTGCGCGGGCCATAAAGGCTTGACTCATGAAGTTGCGAGACGCTCCGCAATCAATCAAGGCACTACACGTTGCCTTGCCGATTTGAATGCGGATATAGAGCAAAGGTGCGTCGGTTTCGGCGTACCTTTGGGTGGCGTGCTCGCGGTCGATCTTCGCAAGATAGGAGCGGAGATCGGCAACCGCTACCCCGTCGTCCGTCAACGGAGCTGGTACTGTAGTGTGCAAGTAGGAGCGTAGCTTTGCCATCAAGGCGTTGCAATGCGGCCTTGGCAATGTTCCGGTCGAGGGTAGAGGTATCCAAGCGAAGTCCTCTCTCGTGAGCTGGTCAAGCTCCTCAAGTCTTGACCACGCCGTTGAGTCCTCGGAAATCAGTGGCGAACTGACCGGATCACTTGCCGACGGTGTACAGGCTGCGCATACGCAATCTACATGCACGTGGCTAGGCTGGTCTAATGGTGGTACCAGCTGGGTGGCATAATCCTCGTACGTAGCACGAGAATCAGCGACTAACGCATGCTCCCCGGTAGTGACATCGATTGCTAGCAAGGCAACCGGGTCCGGCGGAGTGAGGAGAGACGTCGCCCCTCTCCTTGCGTAACTCAGTTTCCCGAGTTGGCTGGACGGGGTACGCGTGCCTTGCCCTTGTCTGGGCATTGTGCGGYAGTGTGTACTACACTGTTGCACCATAGGCAGTATGCGTACTTCTGACGTAGGTCATAGACGTCCTTGGTGATCTTATAAGCCGTCCATGGCTGCTGCCCAGCTCCCGTCGCCGCTGTCCCTTGTGTCGCCTTGTTCTTGCGAACTCTCTTCGGATGCTTCGGCGGGAGCGCTGCGACAATTCCTCCATCACTCAAGGATGCTGCCGTCGCGTGGTGGTCGTCGATTTCTTCAGAAAACACGGCATTGTTATGTGCCGGACGTTGATAGGTCTGCTTAGCCACATAGTGCGGCTGGGATTGTCTCTCGTTAGCGGCCTTGTCGTCCGTTTGGATGACCAAGTTCGCTCGATCCAGAATGGCCTGGAATGTGGTATAGTCGTACTCATTACCGAGTGCCGACCGCAATCCCGCGCACGATCGCGAGAAGAACTCGGATCGTTGGATTTGGAAACGTCAAGTCGAAGCCTGCTGTGGTCACTATCTTTTGCCACTTCGTTGTCCAGTCTCGAGTTGGCATGTTCCCTTGAGAGCATGTGTACACCTCA